TTCCTCCCCTGGGAAGGTCACACTGTCTCTGAGACAAATAAGAAACACTGTCAGTGTATGGTCAGCAGATGCTTTCATCACTGTGACTGCAGAGAAGAGTGAACTGCTGCCATCACTGACTGTTGAGGCTGTTCTTTTGCGTTACTCATGCCCCCCTTTATTATGAGTGTTGGTTAATGTGTTTTTCATCTCTTCTGTGTTAACTCAGCAGCTGGTGCCTCTCTGAGTAGCGACAAACTATCCTAAAAGATAAAAATGGGGATGGATTTTACTTGCATTGCTAACATATATGCCTTCTCATTTTTTAATATCTTTGCCACTCTACACACCCAGAATTTATAGTGACATGGGCAGAAAGGTTTCATCTGGTTAGAACAAGCTGTAGCAGTTCACAGGGCAAATACCCCTAATTCAGGATTTTGCTATAATTATCCAATTTATGCATCAAGATGAGGATTATATCATAAACTGACCATTATTGCAATGATTCATTTGTTTTAATTGACCCTGGTGTCATTCTGATTTTTTAAAATTATCTTTATAGGATGTTATTACATTTTTATGTCTCCAGATCAATAGACTTAATAAACATCTGTGTATTCTGTATTGCTCTTGGATGTTACCACTAAGGCTGAGAAGTTTCATGAGGAAAGGATAATTTACTGAACCAAGGAAATGGACAACTGTGTGTCATGGGCATTGGCAGAAAATTTGCCTTGTGTGGTGCAAACCACAGCATGAATAGTGACTGCATGTCTTGTCAAGGCAAAAATGTTGAATGTCTCTCTGCTGTAGTATTAGTCTGCCTTTGGGTATGGTGTGAGTGTGTGCCTGTGTGTGTTGCAGGTTTGTGTCACAGGCATTGTCACCAGGCTGACCTTGTCTCAGAGGAGATGACATTTAGCCTAATTTTCCCCCGGACTATACTGGCCAGATTCAGTTTTAGAGCAGAAAGGGGTAAATGTGCTGCTCACACTGATGACTGGCATATGTTAGAAGGGCAGTCGGATTTCCTCTTCATCTTACACTAAACCATTCCCCAGTAGCTGACAAAGGCCAGGGTGGAGGTTTGATTTGCTGAGATGGGCAATTATTGCCTACTTCTGAGAGAGCAGAGAGAGGCTCTAATAGCTACAGGAAGCCAATAGCTCTTCACAAAACACCCTTGAAGTTCTGGACAGAACTGTTGTTGGTGCTAATTTCAGTTCTTGTGAGAAGTCTTAATCTTCATATGGGACCAGAATATTTTCAGAGAAAAAAAACATGAAGGTTTTTGTTTCAACTTCTGTCTCACTATCAATAGAGAAGAGAGACAACTACATTCCTTAAGAGAGTGTTTCGAGGGATAGAGGAAAAGAAGATATGATGATTACCTTTAGCCTTTTGGTGGTCTTAGATCTCCCACAGAGTGTTATTCCTCCTTTAGTACAGTGTATTTTATTACAGCACATACCATAAAGGAGCTTTAGTTCATGTAACACCCAACATAATTTCAGTCTCAGCCCTACAGGGAGGCAACAACAGTAAACTTATTGTCCAAGATTTCATGTGCTCTCAAGAACACGTTGACCTGTAGAATTCCTCCATGTAAGAATCCTCTAATACAGAATTACAGAACCATTAAGGCTGGAAAAGACCTCCAAGATCATTGAGTCCAACCTTTGACCAAACACTACCATGCCAACTAAACCATAGCATTAAGCACCACATACAGTTGTTTCTTGAACACTTCCAATCTCAGACTTTGTAGCTTTAAATTCTTTTCACAGATTTTGTGAACTGTTGAAAATGAGTCTGCCAAAAGTACAATATACAATTTGCACCATCCCCACCACATGCCACATGTTACTGGCATATTTTGTGCACTTGAGACACTGTAAGGAGTGCTCAGCAATCACTCTTCCCAGAGCCATCCAGTGGCTGTGCCATCTGATTTCACTGCATGACCTCTTACTTCCTTGTGGAGATTATGAACATCCTCAGAACTTCATTCAGGAGTATCCTTACAGCAGGATTTCTTACACTGAAGAGCTCTCTTCAGAAAGAAACCAATACACCACTAATGCATCAAGTGCTTGAAAAAAAAAAAGCTATTTTCTTTTAAAGAAATGAAATTAAATTTTATTAAGTTAATTTTATTAACTGATTTGAAGTGACTTACATTATGGTGATAGGAACATAAGTACATACATAAAAAATATCCCCCAGATGTTAGCATATAGAAATGAATGTCTTGCAGTAATAAGACTTGGTCCCTGAGACTGAGATCAGAGTTGTGTTTCTGTCTCCACCAGAACTACCATGAACTTCAGTAGATCAGTTCAGTTGAATTGATTTGATTAAGTAGAATAGAATCTGTGTCTGAGTTGTATTTTTTCCCAGGCAAGAAGTTAGAGCTGTTTTTCTTATATTTTTCTTTTCTAGATTTGTATGCATATTTTTTTCCAATGGATTTATTACAGAATAAATTAATTTGGAGGTAGTGTCATGGGGCATTTATTTGATTCTCATTAAGAAGATCAAAACACACTTTTGCGCCACAGACTGGATTCTTAGTATGAAAAAATGTTCCTCCTCATTGCAAAGGCATAGTTTTGCAAACTAATGGAGCCTGAGATTCTATTTCTGGTACATATTAACTACATTTTCTGAGAACAAACCAATTTGTGTAATTACTCCAAATTCCTTCCACAGCTAGAACTCTGTACAACACCCTATGATAGTCTTTTCAATATTATTACCATATTCATGCACTTATTCCAGTTACGTCTTTTACAAGAATACTATTGCAAGACTTCTCTCTTTAGAAAGTATTTCACTGCTCATAAGGTTTTAGCTCATCCTTATAGCTTTATCGTTAGCTTTGTTATTTGGCTGCTGGAGTCTCTCTTTGTTTACTTCTTATTCATATATTCCAAAATGATCTGAAAGCCTTAAACAGTGCCGTGATTGTGTAGTGGGGAACATCCTATAGACTGAAAGAAAAAATCTCAAATGACAAGAGCTTAAAGTAACTAAGAGATGAGAAGTAAACAGGTGTAAAAAAGGAGATTAGAATTGAGAAAATTAGCCAAGGTTTCAGGAAAAACTAAGTAGGATGTAGTCTGTCTGAAATCAAATGTAGCTTGGTGTTGGTGGCTAAAATGCATGTGAGTGCAAAGCAGAAACTCAACCATCTCCTTTTCACTGGTACTTAATGTTTCAAACACTTGATAGTCCTGAGAAATGCTGGTCCAAGGGTGATGGGTCATACACCTAATGCCAGACACCTCGCTGTAACCTGGTACAGGTCAGCCCCAGAGCTTCTCACCAACATGAGACAGGTAGTCAAACATTGCCTGTGTGACACTAGTTTTGCTTCAGACATCTGAGCAGAGAGGTGCCCATGGTGGGCACCATGGTGGTTAATGTGCATGTCAGACTGATGAAGGCATTTTTATGTCTGTAAAAGACAAAGACACCAAGGTGGATAGGCAGTGGAGGTGGCTGTAGTCACTGAAGCAAGGTGAAGGAAAAAGTAGTATGTAGAAGAGAGGAAATTATGAGACTGAAAGAAATTGGGTAAAAAAAAATGTGTAACGCTTTTAACGGAAGATAAGCCACAGGGATTCTCCTTACAGAGTGAAGCAACAAGCCTGCCAAACAGTGGCAGACTCTTAGTCTGTCGAGTCAGGTGTTGCATTTCTCTGCAGTGCTGGTGCTGTTGCTGGTTGTGGCAGGACTCAGCTGCCCCCAGGGGTGCTGCACTGTGCCCTTTGGGGTCCAACAGCAGCACAGCATACATGAATGCTCCAGAGAAGATTCTGAGGAGGAACTCATGATTGCAGTGACCAGGTTGAGGTCAAGAC